TGTGTGTGTGTGTGTGTGTGTGTGTGTATATATAATTTATTTTCATTTCAGTTTTAGTAATTTTAGTATTTCAACTTTATTCAGTTAGTTGCTAAGGAAACATTTCTCATTTTAGTTTTAGAACTTAAAATGTAGAACTTTAACTTAAATTATTTATTTCATTTTTAGTTGTATTTTTTATGTGTATATTTTCACATATACACATATGTTTATTTTTTTTATGTGTGTATATATATATATATATGTATTGCTATTTAGCTTTTAATTATTTCAGTTTAGTTTGAGTTATTTTAGTGTTTCAACTTTATTTGTTATTTGCCAAAATATTTCTCATTTTATTTTAAGTTTATTTTAAACTATGTTTTTATTCAACTTTTTATAAACATAACAATATACACATAGCATTTACTTAAAATATTAATACTTAAAAAACGAAATAAATAAAAAAATGGATAAATTAATATTAAATAATAAAAAAAAAAAGAAAGAAAGACAGAAGAAACCGTTAATAACTTAAAATAAAAACAAATACATAACTACAAAAAGCCCCTTACAACATTTTAAAAATCAAGCAAATACTTTTTGATTACTGCCCAGCTTTGTTGGAAATGTCAGATTTTAACTGTAAATCCGCAGTCATTTTCTTAATATATATCTGATTCAGTCTCTATGTCCATTCTGTCAGAGTATTAGTTTACGTTTTGAAGTTTCAGTGCTTTAAATGTATTGTAATTTATTGTAGCTCAACAAAATCTCTCTGGATTTTCCACAGTCTGCCAAGATGTTCAACTATGCCGGCTGGAAGAAAACTTGCGATTCATTGTTTGTGATTTTTGCTGCTGTATTCCTGGTTACACGCCTGGTTGTGTTTCCCAGCAAGTAAGAACTTTAAACTCTTTAAATCATGAAGTATCAGATGACATTGCCTTCAGTTTCTATTTCAAAACACTTCACTATTAATATCACTTTATCTATTTCAGTAGCTGTAATAGAAATAGGCAGCTCTTAGATTTGGTTCCTTTGCATTGTTTTTCTCAGTGTTTAAGCATGTGTCTGTGTGTGTGTGTGTGTGTGTTTTCTCTCCTGTAGGATCATCTACACCACTCTGGTTTTGTCTATGGAAGTGTTTGAGCCGTTTATGGGGTATTATTTCTTTAATGCGCTGCTGCTGGTGCTGCAGACGCTGCACATTTACTGGGCTTATCTCATCCTCAGAATGATCTACAAGTTTCTCTTCTTAGGGAAAGTAAGTCATTCCTTCCGTCCATCATATCTGCAAGTCCCAGAAACTATTTAGACACTCGTACTGTATGTCTGAATTAAATTACCTAACAGTGGTATTTTAGTATTATATACTGTCAGAGTATTTATTGATATTATGAATAAGCTTTTATTTTTATATTTTCAGTTTTCGTTTCAATTGTAGTTTATGTTTTGGAAGTTCTGTTATGTGCTTTTGTCTTTTTTTATTAGTTTTTGTTTTTTATACAAATATTTCTATTTGGCATTCATTTATTTTGATTTCAGTTTTAGAATTTTAGATTTTTAGAATTTCAACTCAAATGATTTATTTCAGTTAGTTTTATTATTATTTGTATGTTTTAATCATTTTTGTGCTTTTTCATTTTTATTTATTTATTTTTAGTTTGTTTCAGTAATTTTAGAACTTCAACTTAAATCATTTTATTTACATTTACTTTTATATTGTTATTTTAATTTTGAAAAAAACGAACAACTTTAAGTTTTAGTAATTTTGCAGTGCTTCTGTCATTTTTATTACTTTTTGTTTTTTATATACATTTCTTTTTAGCTTTAATTTATTTTAATTTCATTCTTAGTTTTAGTAAATGTAATACTTCAACTTAAATTATTTATTTCAGTTAATTTTACTTTTATATGTTGTACATTTTAATTAAGTTTTAGTACTTTTGTTATGTGCTTTTGTCATTTTTGTTAGTTTTTTATGCGTGTATATATTTTTCTTTAGCTTTAATTATTTTTTATTTCAGTTAGAATTTTAGTCATTTTAAATTAATTTAAATAATTCATTTCGGTGAGTTTTATTTGTATATTTTCAGTTTAATTTTAATCTTAGTTTAGTTTAATGTAGTATTAGTATTTTTGCTTTTTGTCATTTCTATTCGTTTTTGTGTTTTATTTTTCTATTTAGCTTTTATTTCAGTTTTAGTTTGAGTAAGATCAATATGTCAACTTAAATTATTTCTGGTAGTTAGAAACATTTCTCATTTTCGTTTAAATTTTGCATTTTATTTTATGTATTTCAGTTACCAAAAAACTATTTTTATTATATTTAGTTTTAGTTAACAACAACACTGCTGCATGCATACATAACAAAATATGTGATTTGTGCTCAGAGGAACTTTTCTCTCTCTTTTTTATTGCATGAACTAATTTCAAAAGCATTGCACATTGTGATCAATTATTTGACTGACACACACTGGTGAATTCAAATAAATCTTTGACCAGTCTCACTTTGACCTTCTCTGCTCCAGCTGGACAAGGACGAGCGCAGCGATGTTGAAAGTGAACCAGAGGAGGAGGAGAATGAGGAAGAGGATGAGGAAGATTGGTCTTCCTGGAGGAAGAGGAAGGTGGTTCTGGACTCCAGGCTGGCGATGCTGAGCTCCAGCTGTGTCTTAAATAACTTGACGAATCAGAAAGCCGATGCGAACAGAAGACTGCCGAAAGCCAGATAGCAGCGAGCGCTGAGACGTGCTACTCCTTCATCCACACTGAGATCATCAGAAACAAATACACTGTACTTCAGGAACACACTTAACTCTCATTTACACCAGTAACCAGCTCAAGCATCAAGCACTTATGAGGGAGAGGCAGATCAAGGACTTTCTCTTTATTTAGTCACACCTCATATCACTACTAAAAGAGTAGAATTGAATGGAAATAAAAAGACTTGCTGACGTGTGCATTTAGTTCATGACAGATCAGCAGTGCAAACCCATATCAGTAATGTTCAGTCTGTAATAAATAGGCTATAAATAACGTTTAACTGAAAATACTCTGTATTTATTGTGCACTTGTATGATGAAAATACTCGGTTTGAAATGAATGATATGTTTTGTAAATATAGCTGTAGATTTCATTTTGAACATGTTTTAATGTCCTCTGGTAGAATATATGAATATATTGTGAAATATCTTGCCTTGTCTTTTTCTCTGTATACATATTTTACTTTACACAAAAATAATTTATTATTTATATAAATATTGTGACAAATCACACCACCGTTTTAATTCTACATATTAAATTATATTTAATAATAATCTCAGAAATACACATATAGACACCAAACGTCACCCAGATTCACAGTATACACATAATAAATAACAGCTTGTCCCAGAAATGCAGAAACCGATAATGCATTTATATAAAACCAGCACAGACCTTATTTTAGGAGCTTTAACTCTGATTCTGAAGAGCTCGCATCCTGATGAATGCGCTGATATAATGTTTATATTGGTTTGAAAACCCGTTGTGTGGCAGCGGCGCGCTGCGGTTCCGCTCCGCTCCTGCAGGCGGCGGTAAAGCCGCTTTAACGCTCAAAGACACGCGATCTTCGCGCACGAGGAACGCGTGGTTCTTTTTCCGCCCGGATCGACAGCGACTGCGAGGGTGAGGATTACCGTCCGCGCGATTGTTTAGTTTTGACGTCTTTTCTCTCCTTATTCACCCTTATGTTTGTTTGAGTGTGTACATGAGATACTTACGTTCGTGAGTGGAGCGATTAAAGCTGGTTATGCGGTGGATTTAGACGCGTTTGTGTGGTTTGAAGGGGCGAGTGTGTCATGGCGGCTTCTGCCATGTGTGACAGAAAAACACCAAACCCACTAAAGCGACAGAAACCTGCAATGCATGCTTTTTACGTGATCATGCACATTATTTAGCTCTATTTTATAACGTTACTGGGTCTTTTAGCGTTTGAATGACATAAAACTGATTTGTGATGCGCAGTAAAGTCAGATGCTGATCACTAATTGGTGTTTTTGATATCATTCATTATATATATCACACTATATGGCAATTCCATGGTATCTTAAGTTGCTATGGGTCATGGCCAAAATCACGGAAGTACCATTGTATTACAGATGCTGATTTGTTACTGAAACATGGTATAAATGAAAATAACTACATGTGCCAACAGGGCAAAATTATTGTATTGCACCATTTTTTTGCTGCTTCTGTTTCTGTGATGATCCGTGCACGTGACAGATGCTGATGCTTGATGCTCTCATTGACTCTGAAGGATGTTGACTGTCTCTTTTTCTGTGTGACAGTGGCAAAATGCAGATCTTTGTGAAAACTTTGACCGGTAAAACCATCACCCTCGAGGTCGAGCCCAGCGACACCATCGAGAATGTGAAGGCCAAGATCCAGGACAAGGAGGGTGTGTATGAGCTTCAGGGGTGTCAGTGAAGAAAACAGGCTTTCTGTGGGTCCTAAACTCTTAATTTGCCCTTCCACAGATGAAGGCCACAGGCCTTAAAATGTCTTTTAGGTGCAGAAAGTCTTAAATGTATTGCAAAAAAGGAAAATTATATATATATATACACATACATACACACACACAAACTGTTGAAATTTTTTTGGAACCTGTGATACTTTTTTCAGGATTCTTTGATGAATAAAAAGTTCAAAAGAAGAGCATTTATTTAAAATAGAAATATTTTCTAACAATATACACTACAGTTCAAAAGTTTGGGGTCAGAAAAATTTTATTCTTTCGTTTTTTGAAAGAAATTAAAACTTTTATTCAGCAAGGATGTGTTCAGTTGATAAGAAGTGATGTATATTGTTAGAAAAGATTTATATTTTGAATAAATGCTGTTCTTTTTAACTTTTTATTCATCAAAGAATCCTGAAAAAAGTATCGCAGTTTCCAAAAAAATATTGTGCAGCACAACTGTTGATAATTCTAATAATAAATCAGCATATCAGAATGATTTCTGAAGATCATGTGACACTTTATACTGGAGTAATGATGATGGAAATACAGCTTTGCATCACAGAAATAACTTATATTTTAATGTATATTAAAATAGACCATTATTTTATATTGTAATAACATTTTGCAAGATTACTGTTTTTTTTTCCTGTATTTTTTATCAAATAAATGCAGCCTTGATGAGCAGAAGAGACTTCTTTAAAAAACAATACAAGTATTTTATTTTATATCTGTATTTTTATTTTCTAGTACAATACATCTAAACATCTTTAAATCAAGATACATTTACTTGAGATGCAAACTGAAGATGTGAAGTTGTTTTCTAAGGAATTAAACCAAATTAAGTGAGTATGCTTTAAACAATACAGGTATCTCAGTGGGGAATTACATTTTCAAATTCAGTTTTTTTTCTAAGCTCATTGGCAGATATTTCTTCTTTTTATAAAAATGTGCTCACTTCATTTTGATACATTTCTCAGAAAAGAAAACTTAAGTCATTTTGCTTCTGAAGTAAACATATCTTGATTTAAGTATCTTGAAATTTTCACTGGAAAACAAGACAATTACTAAGGAAGTTTTGTTTGCATGGGTTTATTCCTTAAATTTTGACTTGGTCTGATAAAGATCATCTTGAAGTCTTCTATTTACCTTCATAAAACTTGCAGAAACCCTGTATAAAGATATAAGCTGAATTAATCATGTTCTGCTTTCTGGGAGAAAAATTGTTAGTTAGTGGTCTTTTTTTCAGACCACTAACATGTCTTTCATTATTTATGTTTATTTCTTATCTATTTTTTTCCATTCTTCAGAGCACTAGCATGTCTTTATTTTATCCTCAGGCATCCCGCCTGACCAGCAGCGTCTGATTTTCGCTGGCAAACAGTTGGAAGACGGTCGCACGCTTTCAGACTACAACATTCAGAAAGGTGTGTAAATACTGGACTGTCTTTAAATAGAAAAGCACTCTCGTGCACATAACATCTGCTGTTGCTCAAGAGCTCCTGTGTTTGTTCGGCTGATGTTTGTGGTTTTTCTCAGAGTCCACCCTGCACCTGGTGCTGCGTCTCAGAGGAGGCATCATCGAGCCGTCCCTCAGACAGCTGGCCCAGAAATACAACTGCGAGAAGATGATCTGCCGCAAGTAAGAGCACACGCTTCACTTCTAACATCTAGTGATGGACTCCCGTGTAGGGCATGTGTTGGTGATGGTTCAGTGTTGTGTTGAATGTAAGGATAATGAAGCCATGTTCTCGTCTCAGGTGTTACGCCCGTCTGCACCCACGTGCCGTCAACTGCCGCAAGAAGAAGTGCGGCCACACCAACAACCTGCGTCCCAAGAAGAAGCTGAAGTAGACTGGAGCATCGATGTGTTTCAGGAGCTTTGTTCAAATAAAATGTTGCTGAAAGCAGTTGCCTGGAATTTGTTTGTTCATTTGCCAACTATTGCACTTTCATCATGTTCTTTTCCTTCCGTGTAAAAAAAATGAACCTTAGAGATGCCCATTATATTTTTCTAACCATTTTGTCTTCATACTTCCCTGAGGACATTTTCAAGTGGATCCAACGTAATCACCGTTTCAGATTTTGGAAACTTTAAATTTTTTGGTTAAAAGGTTTTGTAAATCTATTACATTTTGTACATTTAAAACAAAACATTGTGAAATGCTATAGTTGTAAACCTATAGTTTGTGCAATGTTTAGTCACAACAGCCCTAGAATATGTCGAATCCGACAAAATGGGGATGTTTTTGCATTTGTTTTTTAAAAGTACAAACCATTTTAAGTCAAGCATCTGTTAAAGTTTTTTTTTTTTTATGCAGACAGTAAAAATGTCTCGCATGTAAGCATTTCATATAGTATGCATGATTTAAAAAATGTTATATGGTGTAATTGTACATTTAGAATACCATGAAGTACTTGAGATTAAAAGTATGGACTTTCAAAAAACAAAACAAAAAAAGCATTTTAGTCGGTGTTAACGAGTTTAGCTTGGGTGTTAATTTAGCAACTGAAATACAAAATAAGAAAATGTAAGCATATTTAAATGAATCAACATTTTGTGTTTGCCAGGGATTTTTTGAGCATATGTAATGCAGAAAATAACTAAATCACTGCTAATTAAATATAAAACGAATTTATTTTGCAAGCTTAATATCTAATAATAATAGCTGCTAATATTGGATTGTCCATTAAACAATGAAAATGTAAAAGTGAAGCATTTTAATGGTATGAAGTTGAATCTCCAAACTCAGTAATTTTTAAATGACTTACGAATCTATGAACAATGCATTTAAGTTAAAATTAAGCACATTTGCTTTGGTATCAAGTGAGCAAATGTGCAAAATTTAAACATTCAAATTTCTTAACATTTTGCTTAAATATTACTTTTGCCTTTATTGACTTGTGCACAGAAAACTAAGAATTCACAAGTTTTGAAAATGCATTTTAAGCATGCATTTGCTGGGGCAATAATTGAGCAAATATGATATTTAAAGCTATGCATATTTAAATCAGTCTAACTTAACCATTGGTTTAAATATTACTTTTCCAGGATGTCTTGCGCACATGTAAATGCAATAAACCACACAGGTAATTCAATGTAAAACAAATCTATTCAGCAGGTTTGCTTTCAGTTCAGAGAAGATGATATATTGTGAGTCTTTGCTCTGGAGTTTCCAGCTGATTGCGTTAGCCGGTTGGCACAGTACGACTCTTACTAGAGTAGAATGAAATACCGTCATCATCGTATAATCAGCCTGTCCAGAGCTGCAGGAGGAACCGAAGATGCGTGTGGGGAAAATAAGGCTCTGGCATCAGAGTAAGACACTGGATCACTCACAAGCAGAAATGTTTGTCCTTGAAAAGAGTTCTTGCCACTTTCTCCAAATCAAATCACACATGCTCTCGTCGATTATACAAAGCAGTACACATACTCAAGTACTGCATGAAGAGAGAAGAAATATAAAAGTAAACACCTGTTTATTTGACCCTATATATGTATAAAGCACACAAATACAAAAGCTCGTGCTGTTCGTGCCGAACCCTGCGGATTGAGAGAACACATAAAAACAGGCTGTTGGCACTTAACATACTGCGGTCGGAAGCCACACGAGCGGCTTTCTTGTGCTATAATAAAGATACTGTATAATGCAACATCCAATACACAACTGTACAACCATTACAGCCTACGATTTAGAGAAACAGTTCAGCCAAAAATGAACATTTGCTGAAAATGTGCTTTTCTTCAGGTCATCCAAGATTAGGATGAGTTTGTTTCATCAGATTTGGAGAAATGTAGCATTGCATCAGTGTCTCAGCAATGGATGCTCTGCAGTGAATGGGTGCCGTCAGAATGAGAGTCCAAACAGCTGATAAAAACATCACAATAATCCACAAGTAATCCACAGCACTCCAGTCCATCAGTTAACATCTGGAGAAGACAAAAACTTAAACAAGTCCATCATCAAGACATTTTAACTTTAGATGGTTGCTTCCGGCTCCATAATCCATAACATTGCATTTTTCAAGTGAATTTTTTTTTTGTTGCATTAAGAAAAACAACTTAGATGTTTTTTCCAGAAAAAAAAATTCTAAATGATGCATTTTGTATTGTAAAATGCATTGTAATTGAGCAAATATAATACTTAGCAAAGTTGTGATAAATCTAAATCTCATTTAAACCATTTGTTTAAATATTACATTTTCCAGGATTTTTTTTTAGCGTTTGTAATTGCAATAAATCACATGAGCAATTCAATGTAATTCAATACACACACACTCCTGTACAGAATTTAGATAGCACAGAAATGTGATTTTTTTAAAACTAAATTATTAAAATTGAAACATTTGAACATTAACAATTTAGTAATGTTTTGAATATTTTAACTATATAGTATTTAAAATAAAACCATCATATAAAATGATAATTGAATGTAGATAAAAAAACAATGCAAAAAAAAAAGAGGGTAAAAGATAAAAATCACAAAAAAAGGGCCAAAAGTAATAATAATAAAAAAAAAATCAGAAAAAAAGAACACCTACAGTGATCAATCTCTATACAACTGTTTTGGACTGGAGTGGTGTGGATTACTTGTGGATTACTGTGATGTTTTTATCAGATGTTTGGACTCTCATTCTGACGGCACCCATTCACTGCAGAGCATCCATTGCTGAGACACTGATGCAATGCTACATTTCTCCAAATCTGATGAAGAAACAAACTCATCCTAATCTTGGATGGACATTTTCAGCACATTTTCATTTTTGCCTGAATGATTCCTTTAATCAAATGAAAATTTGAAGCCTTAGAGCTGCACAAAGCAACTACACTAGATGCATTCAAGCACATTCATGAATCCATTGCTCAATGAAGAACTACAGCTATTCTTAAGTATAAATTCCCTCACGAGTTTAAGGGATCTTAATGTTCTATCATAACAGAATTGTTGATTTCTACCTACTCATATATTTCTGCCAATGCAGCTAATATTTGATGCTTTATATCAGTGCTGTCGTCTATACTAAGCATTCCACAGTATGAACACATAGAGGCGCCACATTCAAGCTGGTCTTTGGTTTCCTCTCACTCCCAGCTGAGAAACTGAATCAGAAAAACAAACTCAACGGCACAAAAGCTCATTCATGACTTTCTAAAATGGTAAACATCATTTCCACTCATATTTTTCCACTCATATATCTCCCAAAAGCTTGAGGCGTTTGAGCCACTAAGGTCTTTGCTACAAATTAGTTTTGGTTATGAACTAAATCACACATCATATTCATTAAACACTCATGATTCAATTAGATTTCGATTCACAGAGTCAAGATTCAATTCCAAACAGAATCAATTTTTTATCCTAATCCTTTAAAGTGCTAGTAAAAATTCATTTGATTTTGACATAACAGCCATTCATGCTCAAGTTTAATGTTTCAGAAATGTGTAAATTATTACAAATAATATACATTTTTAAATGATTAAAATATTAAATTGTTATAACTATATAATATTTACTATTAAAATAATCATTTCAAATAATTGAATGTAGATGAAAAATCGCAACAAAAAATAAAGAAATCAGTAGTCAATCTTTATAATTTTTTTAACCTGATCTTTTTAAGTGTTAATTTGACATATTTGTCAGTTAATTTGACTTTGACATAACAGCCCTTCATACTGAAGTTGAATGTTACAGAAATGTGTGACAATTTTTCAGCTAAATTAAAATAATATGATTAAAATATTATTTTAGCTATATAATATGTATAATTAAATAATAATTCAAAATAATAATTGGATATAGATGTAAAAATGGAAAAACAATCTTATACAATGTGTTTTTAACCTAATCTTTTGAAGTGTTCATAAAAATTTATTTAACATTGTCATAACAGCCATTCTCGTTAAAGTGAAATTTTACAGAAGTGTATGAATTTTTCATCTAAATTATTATTAAAATATAATAATTTTTTATATTATTAAAATTGTATTAAATTACTATTTTAATGGTATATTATTATATATAACTAAATAATAATTTGAAATAATTAAATGCAGATGTAAAAATGCCAAAAATAAATAAATAAAAACATTTACACAACTTGTGTAAATAACTTATGTTGCACTGAACTTAATTATCAATCCTTTAAAATAACATTTTTGTGAATTAATCCAGAATCGTTTGTGATGCATTTGTGAATACATTTTTTTCAGCCCTATTTTTCATGATGTGTGACCTTTAGCATGGTTTAAAAGAAAAATAATTACGAAAAAAATCATACTTGTGATCCTGTAAAGATGTCACACAGCACTAGTGTTTCTGTATCAAAAATAAAGCGTACCGTAGCAACACTGTTCGTGATCTGCCAACTTAACATCCTCAACACTGAAGTTATTGCTAGACTGGAACAGAAAGAGCGTTTCAGTGCAAATTCAAGATGAACGAGAAGAAAGCAGGGTCGCACTATTTATTGATGAGCTTGACCAGACTCTGCCGAAGGTCGTTGAGGTCGAAGATCTTGACGTCGAGGATCTGAGCGACCCTCTGCACCTCGTTCTCGGCGCGCTCGCGATCCTCCAGCGCAGACACCAGGGTTTGCTCAGCGCTCTGCACGCGCCGCTCCAGCTCAACGTTACGCATCTCCAGCTCCTGAAACACATTCAGACACACCACAGAGATGTCCAGGGTCAGATCTCACCAGAACCTTCACAGTAACTAACCCTCTACATTTGGAAAATGCCTTCTTAGAAAACTCTCACAGTCAATTAAACAAAGCAGTTGCATACTGAAGTACTGCAGGAGGAAGAAATATGTTTTTTAAATTAGCTTTTTGAAAGTATTTGTAAAAATGTTTTTTTTTTTACTTCTGTAGATGTTACCGAAAAGCGTGATGCTTATTTTAATAATAATTTAGCTTAAAATTATTATTTTAGTTATTAAAATAGTAATTTAATGTAAAATATTCCAATTAAGCAATAACAGCATTAACAGTCAATCTTCATACAGCTTTTTTTCACTGTTACATAAACATGCAAGTTGAACGTTACAGAACTGCATGACAATTTTTAAGCTAAATAATTATTATAATAAATTTTAATGTTATTAAAATATTAAATTAAATGTTATTTTAATTAAATAATCTAAAAGAACAACTTTGTATGAAATATGTCATTTGTAAGCTAAATTATTAATATATAATAATTTTTCATATTATTAAAATATTATAAATATTTTTAATTAAACGAAATCATTATTATTTGAAATATACTTATAATAATAAAAACAAATTTTAAGGTTAAAAAATGTGTAATTATATTTATGCCATTTCTGTGACATTTTCATTTTCATGTGTTGCATAGGTGTGAAGCATGCACCTGCAGTCTGTGAATGGCTTCTTCTCTCTCCGGCTCCAGCTCGTGGAAGTTGGACTTCTTACTCTGGAGAATACGGATCTCCTGAAATGCAATAATGTGCAGAAGCATATAATCCAGCGAGGCCTCACTGTGTTTAGTGTCTTATATGCAGGAGTTTGAGGAGATGATTGCAGTAACTGGACTAGTGTGTGTGTGTCTGTGTGTCTGTGTGTCTGTGTGTCTGTGTGTGTGAGAGTGTGTGTGTGTCTGTGTGTGTCTGTGTGTCTGTGTGTGTGTGTCTGTGTGAGTGTGTGTGTGTGTGTGTGTGTGTGTGCGCGTGTGTGTGTGTGTGTGTGTGTGTGTGCGCGTGTGTGTGTGTGTGTGTGTGTGTGTGCGCGTGTGTGTGTGTGTGTGTGTGTGTGTGCGCGTGTGTGTGTGTGTGTGTGTGTGTGTGCGCGTGTGTGTGTGTGTGTGTGTGTGTGTGCGCGTGTGTGTGTGTGTGTGTGTGTGTGTGCGCGTGTGTGTGTGTGTGTGTGTGTGTGTGCGCGTGTGTGTGTGTGTGTGTGTGTGTGTGCGCGTGTGTGTGTGTGTGTGTGTGTGTGTGCGCGTGTGTGTGTGTGTGTGTGTGTGTGTGCGCGTGTGTGTGTGTGTGTGTGTGTGTGTGCGCGTGTGTGTGTGTGTGTGTGTGTGTGTGCGCGTGTGTGTGTGTGTGTGTGTGTGTGTGCGCGTGTGTGTGTGTGTGTGTGTGTGTGTGCGCGTGTGTGTGTGTGTGTGTGTGTGTGTGCGCGTGTGTGTGTGTGTGTGTGTGTGTGTGCGCGTGTGTGTGTGTGTGTGTGTGTGTGTGCGCGTGTGTGTGTGTGTGTGTGTGTGTGTGCGCGTGTGTGTGTGTGTGTGTGTGTGTGTGCGCGTGTGTGTGTGTGTGTGTGTGTGTGTGTGTGTGTGCACACTCTCGCCTCGTCCTTTGCCTTCAGCAGGTTCTCCAGCTCCTCCAGGGATTGAGTGAGCTCGTCTTTTAGCATGTCGCTGGGTCCCTGACCGCCGTGAGCCTCCAGATCCGCCACCTACAGACACACAACAACTCATCTGTCAGAGCCGTCATTACACTGATGATGCCTGCAATTAACAGAGCACGCTCAGATACACATCTGCCATGTGCAAAAGTCCATAAAAAGTCCTTCAAATCCAACTGATTTTATTCATATTACCCTGAACTGCAAAGGCCCAACAATATGTGAAATCATTAACATGACTTACAGTAGAACAAGGACAATTTTGGGCCAAAATATTGTAGTTTGATTGAACGCATGATCTTTCACATGAAAAAAAAAAAAAAATTGAACCTATATATTTTGCTCCTCATGATTCAGACAGATTTGATTCATTGAGTCAAGATCAAATTCCAAAATGATTCCTCAATTTTACCTAATATTTTAATGTCAATTTTAATTATTTTACTTTTACATAACAGCTTAAGTGAGATGTTACAGAAATGCATTTTAAACAATATATGATTACAAAAAAATTAAATTTTAATACAAAATTATTAGTAGTATTAAAAAAACAAATGTAAAAAAAAGAAATGCAAAAAATGTTCATAAAAATATTTGTCCTCTAAATAATAGTCATTCATGCTTAAGTGAGATGTTACAGAAATGCATTTTTAAGCATATAAATGATCTTAAATATTACTATAATGACACTTTAACATTAAAAAGCAAAAAAAATGTGTAAAAATATATTTACTTTGTACATACATCAATTACGTTTACATTTAAGCTAAACTATTAAAATGCAATCATTTTAATATTATAAAATTATTGTTAAAATAATTAGATGTAAAAAAAGCAAATATGTTGGTAAATATATATTTGACTTACATAGATGTTACAGAAATGCATTTATAAGCTAAATTATTAAAATAAAATTTTTATATGATATTAATATTATTAAATTATTACTCTAATTATTGTTCAAATAAATTAATGTAGGAATGAGTGTGTGTGTGTGTGTGTGTGTGTGAGTGTGTGTGTGTGTGTGTGTGTGTGTGTGTGTGTGTGTGTGCACACTCTCGCCTCGTCCTTTGCCTTCAGCAGGTTCTCCAGCTCCTCCAGGGATTGAGTGAGCTCGTCTTTTAGCATGTCGCTGGGTCCCTGACCGCCGTGAGCCTCCAGATCCGCCACCTACAGACACACAACAACTCATCTGTCAGAGCCGTCATTACACTGATGATGCCTGCAATTAACAGAGCACGCTCAGATACACATCTGCCATGTGCAAAAGTCCATAAAAAGTCCTTCAAATCCAACTGATTTTATTCATATTACCCTGAACTGCAAAGGCCCAACAATATGTGAAATCATTAACATGACTTACAGTAGAACAAGGACAATTTTGGGCCAAAATATTGTAGTTTGATTGAACGCATGATCTTTCACATGAAAAAAAAAAAAAAATTGAACCTATATATTTTGCTCCTCATGATTCAGACAGATTTGATTCATTGAGTCAAGATCAAATTCCAAAATGATTCCTCAATATTACCTAATATTTTAATGTCAATTTTAATTATTTTACTTTTACATAACAGCTTAAGTGAGATGTTACAGAAATGCATTTTAAACAATATATGATTACAAAAAAATTAAATTTTAATACAAAATTATTAGTAGTATTAAAAAAACAAATGTAAAAAAAAGAAATGCAAAAAATGTTCATAAAAATATTTGTCCTCTAAATAATAGTCATTCATGCTTAAGTGAGATGTTACAGAAATGCATTTTTAAGCATATAAATGATCTTAAATATTACTATAATGACACTTTAACATTAAAAAGCAAAAAAAATGTGTAAAAATATATTTACTTTGTACATACATCAATTACGTTTACATTTAAGCTAAACTATTAAAATGCAATCATTTTAATATTATAAAATTATTGTTAAAATAATTAGATGTAAAAAAAGCAAATATGTTGGTAAATATATATTTGACTTACATAGATGTTACAGAAATGCATTTATAAGCTAAATTATTAAAATAAAATTTTTATATGATATTAATATTATTAAATTATTACTCTAATTATTGTTCAAATAAATTAATGTAGGAAAAAATGCAAAAAAAAAAAAAAACTATACCACTTGAAAGTGAACACTGAGTACATATTTATTTTGCTATCCTGATAATGCACAACTTGAATCATATTTTTTATTAATGATAAAATGAATATATATTTTTTATAAAATTATATAATATTTTTAAACATTAAATATCATTAAATAATTTTAGCTATTATTAAACTAATAATGAAAAAAACCTACTAAAAACACCAAAAGCAGTCAATCTCTATACAATTGTGAATCCTGTGTAAATATAGTACATTTAGGCCATTTCTGTGCTAAACTAAACCGAATTATTAATACTTTATTAATTGAAAATCTGATTAAAATTGTGCAAAGTCTGATTTGAATGACTGAAATATCAGTCTCTTCAACAACACACAAAGCATCATGTGAGTTCAGAAGAGTCTGAATACAGTATAAAGTCCATGTTTTATGTCTCTTTCGTATGAAAGAGAGCTGCGTGATGGACCATTGTGGCGTTTCTGAGAAACCTGTTTGAAAACAGTCATTATGCTTGCAGAACTGGCTGTTCTGGCAGGAGTCTTTCTAAGAAACAGACTCTTGTTGATATGACAGTGAAGACGAAGCCTGTGTGATGTTTTGAGGCTCAGATGCTTGTTCATTTCTCTACAAATTCTGTTCTGCTTCAGCGTAAAATCATTTGAGAACTTCACTCGGACCGAATCTGCAGCATAATGGCCGTCATAAAGCCCCGCTGCTGACCTACATACACATTCAGTGATTATTCAGGCATTATATTTGAATAATGCATTACAGCTGACAGTAAAGGACAGTAGAAGGGAAACTATGCTGAGCGTTTCACGCCGCGCTTTAACCAGGTGTGACACGACAAGTCATATTTCTGTCCATCATCAGTAATGCATGAGTATATATTCACAAATGACCAGATCATATTAGATGGTTAATATACAGCTACAGTATACTACTGTTCAAAAGTTTGTGGTCGGGTTTTGAAATAAGTCACCAAAGCTGCATTTATTTGATATATGTAATATTGTGAAATATTATTACAATTTAAAATAACTGCTTTCTGTGTGAATATATAGTAAAATGTAATTTATTTCTGCGATCAAATCTGAATTTTCAGCATCATTACTCCAGTCTTCAGTCACATGATCCTTCAGAAATCATTCTAATATGCTGATTTGCTGCTCATTTTTTTTAAATCAATGTTACAAAAGTGCATTTTAAAGCTAAATTATTATTCAAATGTAAATAAAAGATAATATTAATAATAAAATATTACGACATTGTTTTTATTAATAAAATAATGAAAAATCTGAAAACATTAGTAAAAATTATGCAATTTTATTTAATTATTAATAATATTAATTATTTTTATTAATACATACATTTTTAAAAATACATTTTAATTAAAACATTTTTTAAATGAAAATGTATTAGGATTTTTTTGTTAAAAATGTAAACAAAATAAAAAAAAACCACAGGAAAATATATTAATTTTTTACATAAGTGAGATGTTACGGAAACACATTTTTTGAAGCCAAACTATTATTAAAATATATTTTTTACATATTAATATGATTAAAT